CTCCAAGTCCCGTTCTGATCAAGATATCATTGCATCGCGCGGGTCCGTGTGTGCACTTGCGGTGTTCGCGCCGAGAATAACAGAAGGAACGGACGCGGTTCATTTGTGCAAATTATGTTCCATTGTGATGAAGCTGCCCCTGTCCCCGCCCTTGCAATTTTGTTTATTTTGAGCACTACTTTTGCCTTTCGTTTCCGTTCATTTGCGCAGTTGTGCTCCGCTGTCTAATCTTCCTGTGACGTGCTGTCGACAGCCATGGGGTTTGTTTGTATTAGCAGGCCTTATCCTCAGCATCATCATCATCATCATCCTCACCGCCACCAGCAGCAACACACCACATGTCTCATTTTCTATGTATCTATGTATAATGACAGCATCGTTTAGACGCATTTTATACCACATGAACATCCTTTTATCAATTTGCGCATTTTTGGTGTCAAATGAGTTCCTCGATAACCGAATACGGGCTTTCCCCGATTAGATACCGCCAGTGCTCGCCTTTACCGAGGGTCTTTGTTGGTACACCGTGGCCATTTAGGACCGAAGCAGACTCCCAATGCTCTCTCAGCCCCCGGGGTCACAGTCTTGTTGAGATTACTTTGGTCGCAGCATTTAAGATCAGTCACTTTTTTCCCTTCAGGCCCCATGGACATCAGCAGGGTGAACGTACTGGCTTCCGAAGCTAATTCCCAAGTTTAGGGACCCCCAAAGAAGAATTAGTGTGCTAATCCCGGAGTGCGAACATCGAACGAACGATTTGCTAAGGCTAGGATCGTTTCTGTTCAGTTGGAGTAAAGGCAACGGTATAGAGAAGGACCCCACTTATGTGTAAGTAGACTGTGGATCTTGTTTTATCTTAGCATATATTTGCAGGCTGTTGGACATATTTACACTGCCAACAATGATTACTTCCCACGACCTCACACCTTAACTTAAAATCCGTTATTTTGTGAATTATGTTTATTGTTTGATTACTACTCTCATTTCTGTTGTCGTACAATAGCGTAGGATAAGACTTTCGGCATAAATTCAGGCAATTTTTGTGTTTTCCTTCACTTTGTCAGCTTACTGTCTAGCGTGCTGCCCCACCCATAAAACTCCCTTTTCCATAAATCACGTATGGCACGATCCACAGTCTACTGACAGCTAAGCGGGGTCTTTCACTACACAGTTGCTGGACTAACTGCATAAATCTCGACTCGTAGGCTTGCCGGCTTACTCAATTTGCCGGACAAGCGCAACCAATCAAAGCCGATAGGACTCGCCGCCACTGGCAACTATGACACAAACAGGTCTAGCAAAATACCATAGCAATGGACTTTATGTGCTCGTCCTATCCCTCGAGCCTGCAATCGACATACACCGCACCACACGACTCGTGTGATTGCATTGGCAATTTCAGCCAATCACAGGTGTCGGCCCCTTGGTTTATCGATTTTCCGCCGCCGATAACGGCACATGCTCCCAGCCCTGACAACTGATACGTACTGATTGCGTTGAATGCGATTCGGCCCTGTGCGCAGAGGAAAGACCGGCGTCTCGCTTCTTCCGCTGTTTAGAGTGACATGGCTCGGTACACTTCCATCACCTTTCTTGCTCCGATGTCAGACCACTGCTAGGACGACCGGAGGTGGCCGCTGGCGCAATGGCTGACAAAATTACACGAGCCACTTACACGTGCAACGCGCGGCCCGGTTTCTTTTTCATGTCTATCAGGCCTCATTCAGAAGGCCGGCACTCGGATCTTATGCACATGGGAATGCCATTACACTGTGAGGAACCATTGCTGTTTGAGTTTTCCCGTCAGTCGCATGTCAGCTTTATTCTCGCGGGGAACGCGCTGATTTTCCACGAATGTCCGATCCCAGCAGAAATCCTCACGCGTAAAAGCATGGGAAAAGTCTAGTTGATGAGTGCTTTCCTCCTATTGGAATAATTCCGTTCTGAATGCGGATTTGCACAATGTGAATGTGGTGCAGGAGGTGGTGGTTGCTGGCAGCACCAGGGCTCGAGACCTTATTGAACTTCAAACGGTCTTTTCGCAGATATAGGAAACGCAAGGTTGCCATATGAACGACTCTGAATTTTAAAAAAGGCGAGGTAATTGATAAACAGCATTAGAGAGGGTAATATGCGATAAACAGCTAGTCAGACACTTTAACGCGAACTCGTATTTGCACACAGACGGCACACTAGGTGTGAGCTTTGATCGACACTTTTTTGACCTTGAATCCGTTTGATTTCAACTGAGAAAACACGGCCTCGCGGCTTGGAGGTAGACCCCTGGACATTGATCAAAATCCTGGGGTTTTTCCGATGTCACTTTTGGTAAGAATCCCCGAAATGGTCATAAACTACGCCGTCGTCTCTGTCAGTGGCCTTTGGACAGTTAAGTTCATAGTCCATTACCATAATATACCCGGCTGCGAGACTGAGGTCAGCGTAACCATCCATCTCGCCGGTGACGTGAGACTTTGCAACGAGCATGGGTGCGTTTCGAGGCGTCTGGTAACATCAACGTACAGTAGCTGAGATAGCTCGCGAAATTTTAATCGAAATTCTGGAACGCGATTTCGGTCAGACGGATAGGATTGTAATACATATCAGTATGCACTATAATCCCAGGGCATTTAACGCACGCCAGGGTGTTGCCTTTTAAGCGTGCGTCTTTCAGGTGACCTGCAACAATTTCACTGATTCCAAAAACGTCTACGTAAATGGCGTGATTATTTTTTCATTGATCATAAATGTGATTATAAATCTAAACTTACTTTAAAAAGTGAAGTTGGCAAACACGTGTTTTCGGTAATTCTTCGTCAGGCCAGTACCGTTACATGAAGGAATGAAAATATATAAAATTAACAGTGTTTATAGGTGTCTCAAGGGCTATTAAATCATTAACACTCATCTTTCCCACGCCGCCCACATCACGTTGGCGGATTTTGGTCCTTAGAGCTAGAGGAGGTGAGTAAGAGAGTCTTTGAGTGATGTTCTTGGATTGAGTACACAGAGTACTCATCACTGTAATAAGGGATTTGAGGCGGCATGTCGTCATCACTTGAGGTTAGCGTTGGCCACGGCAGAGAGAGCGCTCGTGTCAAGGTTTTCTGACAGCATAACACCGGATTCGTTAGCCGTATAGCCACTGCCTCGGCCGTTGCTAATATCCGTTGGCGTAGGCCTTTAGAGAAGCTTGTTGATGTCCGATAGACAATCTGAAATGCTTCCTTGGCATCGACTCGGTGATCGGTACCCATTAGATGCGCGAGAATAGAGCTCGAAATCGATCGGGTCTCACTTCTGTCTAGCCAGGCGGGCATATGTTCACGCACCCTCTTTATCAGGCGTCTCGTTGTACGGTCGATGTATCCCGCTCCACAGGAGCAAGTGAATGAGTAGATGCACACTGATGTGGCCTCCAACGGTAGTCTGTCTTTACCTCCCAAACGTAGGAGGGGAGAGTTTGTGAAGCATACGCGTAAATCCGCCGCGGGGAATGCTCTCGTGATAGCTGAGCACTCAAAGACTCTTATCCCTCTCCCCTAGCTCTAAGGACGAAGATCCGCCAATCTCGTCATGCGGGCGGCGTGGGGAAGATGAGTGTTAATTACTTAATAGCCCTTGAGACACCTATAAACACTGTTGATTTTGTACCTTTTCATGTACTGGCCTGACGAAGAATTACCGAAAACACGAGTTTGCCAAATTGACTTTTCAAGTGTAACATGGGAATATTTGCGGAACTTGAACCTACTTTGTAGAAAGCGTGCGTGAAACATTCTTCTTGATACTCACTTTGCAGTGGGTCACGTTACAAGCGAAAATGCGGGTCATAGGAAGCAGTAGAGGAGGAGTAGACGCGGTTGCTGGAACAAGAGCTTCGTTCGCCTGACACCCACTCTCAGTCGACGGGACCCGGCCACTTATTCAAGTTCGACGAGGCCGAAATTTTCGAGAGAGGTGGCAGCCTCGTCAGCCGCGAGTTCATTGACCCACATTCAACTAACAAGCGGAATGACCTCGCCTCTGCACGTTCTGTGCTGAAGCATAGCCTGGGTAGAGTAGTTGGCCACGCGCGGAGTGCGTAGGCGAACAGTGTTTACAACCCTAATGTCGGTGAGCCAGATGGTCGAGTAATCATCACGCCAACATTCAACACGAGGGATGAAGTCGCTTCGATTAACCAGTGGAATGTTGGCTGTCAGGCCATTATCGCACCATGGGCAACCGCCACTTTTGCTAGGTTGCGGGGTAGCATAGCGACTGCATCCTATAAATGCTGCAGATTCTTGTGCGTGAATTAATCGTATCTGATAGTGCCACTGATGTTGAGTTCTAGCATGATTCTGAAGCATCAGGTGAATAAAGCTCTGAGGAAAAGGAAGTGCTCACCGGATCGAGGGACTTGTTTGGCTGACGTTTCGAACAGCTTGGGCGGCTCTCCATTATCAAAGCGTCTAGTGGAAAAAGCGATCAGAATTTTGAATAGACAGCCGGCTTAGTTGGCCTTGGGCTGATCGATTTTTTCTTCTTTCACTGCCTTGGCCTGCTGGCCGTCGCTTGTGAGTGTTGGTGGCCTCCTGTATTGTGTGTCGCCACCTCAACTGGGGTTTGTTGCGTTTGCGTCTCCC